AAATTTACAAATTATGCATAAGCAAATACATCTCAAGTAAACAATAGACAGATAGAAAATACACAGTTTATATATATATATATATATATATATATATATAAGTATATATGCTTGTGCATGTACTTACTTACTCTCATTTAAATCTTTAAATTTTTCAAATAAAATCTTGAATTACAAAGCAATATATTAAATTTATTTTTGTTATATATTAAGACACTTCTAATTCATACAAATGTACGTAAACTATAAGCTTAGACAAATATATTAAATATACATACTTTTAAAAATAAATTTATAATATATTTATTTGAAATGCAAAACAAAAAATTTAACAATACATTTTTCGTGAGTTAAAATACATAAAACTTACAAAATTACAGTAAAGTTATAAGCTACACATAAAAGAAATGTATAAGTAGGTAATTTTAAAATGCAACGACCAAAAAAAACAAATACTGTCCTTATAAATACTTGTCAGCATAATCGGTAGTGTATTATAATACATATAAATGTATATATAGCTGGCAGTTTAAATAAAAATAAGTAGCTCTTCGAATAGATTTTTCCATTAGATTAAAATAATATGTTTATGTTAAGTTATACATAAATATCCTCATATACATATACAATTTGTGTAAAATATAATTATATATATATATATATACATGTATATATAAATATATTTTACATATTGTATGAATATACAAGTCTATTTATGTATATAAAATCGCTTACATAGAATAGAAGACTCGCCTAAAGTTCCTTATACTATGTGTACGCAATGTGCAATATAATTATATTGCACATTATGTAAATGCAAACACATATATGCATCCTAAACTTTAACATAGCACTAAAAACTATAATAATTACTTATAATTTTAGACTATTTAACTTTTCAAAAATTTCTTAATATATTCAATGAGTTTGTGTTTTAAAATCTTTTTGTAAAACGATTTTCATAAAAAATCGTCTCTAAAAGTTTACAATGATTTTCTATGGATTCATTATTTATTCATAATTATAAATACTTTTAGAATTTATGAAATTTTTTCTCTATATATTTCTGTATATATATTATTCATTTATTAATTAAATAATCTTTTATACCAATTTTTGTGTTTTTCCAATTTTTGTGATGCGTGTTTATCGGTGGTTCGCGCGCGCTTTCTTATTTAACTGAAAAAGAAAAGAAATTATATGAAATTAATAGAAATTCAAAAATATATCATATATACTAATGAAAAATAAATGGGAAATATAATATATTACATAAACATGAAATTAATGAGAACTTATAAATACTTGTGAGTAAGTGAATTGTAAAAGTAACATATTTATATATAATAAGGATCTTGCACAAATTCATTTACTCTAATTTTATTTTAAATAAATACAATTGCTAATGAGAATAGCACCCATTATTGTAAATATTCCTATTTATTCAATTGCATCCATAATGCTAAATACTCAGTCATATTTATGAAGCCAAATGTTCCATGTATTCACTTAAATTCATTCTAACAAAAAGTCAAAGACAATCTGTTAAAATCATGATAGTGTTACTATATTACAAGTTTCTATAAAAGCAGAATTTTTGCAAAAATTAATATTACACTAGATACATGAGCAGTCCATATTTATAAAAAATTTATTATTTTTAATAGAATTATATATGAAAATTGTAATATGTCTAAATTGAAAAAATGAAATAATTTACCAATTTATAAAACAAATTATTGTGCAAGATCCTTATTATATTTATGTATATGTTTAGTTTGCTATTTTTAAATGATCACATATATATGTTGAAAGAAAACGTTTTTCCATAATAGCTAGCACAATTTATACTATATTAGATTTATATAATAATAAAAAAATTAATAATTGTAGTAATTTATCTTGTACCTTGTGTGTCAAGAAAATTAAGACAATTTTACCATAAGCATAAAATATGTATATAAGAATAATATTTTTGATAATAATTCTGTAATGCAAGTGTAAATGTACTTCTTGTAATTATGTAATTAGAATTAATATTCATTTTAATAACTTATAGTATGTTACATTTAAGAATATCTTCTGGTTCAGCAAATTAAGCTTGATTAATTATTGCAATTTGCAATATGTTGCATTTGGTAATTCAAAAATCTATCTTCATTTCAGTTCTTTCAATAATTGATAATATTATTCAACATAGTTACTTCTTGCACAAAGCTTCTAATATGAATAAACGTTTTCTTTGCATTTATGAAATCTTTTTTTTATCACATATAAGTGTAGACCTGAATATGAAATAATGAAAAATGATATGAAATGATAGTAACAAAAGCAAATATTTAAAATTTGTTTGTCATTTTATATATGTGAATTTTGATAAATTGAATAAATAGTTTATATCATGCCTATTGGCTATCCATAACATTTAGGTATATCTTTTATTATTACACAGTTAAAAGACGTTGAGGAAAACATACAAATACTATATACTTGTGTATATTTGTAGGTAAATAAGATATTTGGAAACGAATACTACGAATAGCTTAGAATTTAATAAACAAAATAAAATTAAATCATAGCTAATATTTTTTATCGTTCTCATGAAGAACTAATTGTTACTTTTAGATGATTAGTTCTTTCACTAACAATAAGGGTAATATTATTAAAAAGGATGGAATTATATATATTTTGCCGATGTTACTGTTTGTGCAACAAGAAACAAATGATAACCACAATGATACGAGTTGCCATGAAAAAAATGAATTTCTTATTAATATTCAAATTTCATAAGATTGAATTTCTACAAGTTTTGCTATATAATATATATATATAAATATATATATATAAATACCCATTAAATTGTAATTGTAATCTATTCTGTATACTTTTTATTTGTAGCTTATGGCATCTATTACATTTATCAAAAGCTTACGAATGCTATTTTGGTAAAAACTTCCGTGTACAACTATTATGAATTTACTATTTAAGTTTGAGAACAATTATTATTTCCTTAGTTTTGCAAATTTTTATTTTTGAAAGGTAAGATACAAATTATATAAATCAAACCGAAAGTTTCAATATAAATTGATAACTTTATCAAAAAATTGTGTTAAATGTATAAATAAAAAAACAAACAAAGAGTAATATTAAGAAAAATCAAATCTATTGTTTATAAATTCATTCGTGCAAATTAAATGAAAATAAAGAATAGTGTTTTTGATGAAAAATGTAAATTATGCAATGCAACTTATGCATTTGTGTTCTGAATAAAATTTCATATTCAAGAGTCAGTATTTTAAAAAAAAAAATTAAAACATGAACTGACAACCTGTTATTACAAGGTTTTGCATGATTATGAAGCCTATTGATGAACATGCCTTATAATAATTTTATTTTATTGTTGCTACAATTTATTAGACATAAAAAGGTTTATTACACTTGTTCTGCAAATTCATTGAACTGACTGTTCAATAAGACTACTATTGAAATATAGTTTTTACTTTGAAATCATTTTAGTAATTATTTTGACAGCCAAAGAAATTGTTAAGTAGTACAGTTTAGTTTATTTAAATGCTATAAATGTTTTATGTGATAAATAAACTCTCAAGTAAATGTATGAAATGCTCCATTTAATACAAATACACCCATATCTCACTTTGCATCATGGTTCTATGAAGATTATCTTTTGATCATTTATGATTCTTAAATCCAACTAATTTAAATCATTTATAGCATATGAAGTCGTTGATAACTGTGTCTTTTATTAATGCATTATTATCACACAAATGCAGAACTTTAAAGTCGTTGTAATGTAATGCTAAACATCAAAGCGTATGATGTTGGCATGAATTGGTGATCACATACAAACCCTCTTTGTATATCAATTATCCCACATTAATTTTATTGATAATAAATTAACGCAGATTAATATATTTACTTTTTCTTCAGCGTGAAGAAGGATCTGCGCTTCGTTCATCTTTGCCCGAAGAACTTGGAGCAG